CTGCAGGATATTAAGATGACTACTAGGCCTATCATACCTGACCAATATCAAAAATTTAGAGACACAACATTTCGGGTAGAAGCATTTTGAAATTAGGGTAAAAAATTGGTCGAAATATGTCAAATTTTGCACCCAAACAACATTTCCCAGTTATACCGGAAGTTGTCCGTTCAAAATTTTTTCACTTCATCATGTGACTTCTGTCGCCTAGGGGTCCCCATAGACCAAGTATGGTTGAAATTTGCTGCCCGTCCCCCCGGGTTATCGTTTTGTTCAATTTCTGCATGGTGCTCTCATGGATACGCTCTAGTGATATTGACAAAATATATAAGTGGTCAAAAGCATAAAAAGTCGATTTTAATTCAGTAAAACCCACAAGTTTAACTTTTTTCTAGAAAAACCGTTCCATCCGATTTTAAGCTTACTTTTAACAATGTACCGATTATTCATTGTTGTATCAATAAACACCTTGGTATCGTTTTTAACTCAAAGGCTAACTGGGAAGATCACATAGAGTATTTAACGTCAAATATAGGTTAAATCATTTATTTTATCGATCTTTGATTATGCCGACATTTTATGGGATAACTGTTCGTTTGAGCAAGATACAAAGTTAAAAGATAGGTTGCCAGGCAACGAAACATACGCCCACAGCAGCTAAATGGTCCGGGCAGTCAACAAGAGTTGTCACATATTTTTACTTTTTTCGGTAATGAAACATTTATAATACATTAAAATCTGATCAAGAGTAACAACTTATTAAGTAATTCTCAGAAAACCATTAGAATTTGTTTGGTTTTTATAAAGTTCTGCCCCATGCTAACGTTTAGTATATGAAACTTTTAACATCATGGATTTAGCTGTTCAAGTCATAAAAATTAATTGAAAATCAATATACTTGTTCATCTCAAGACCTTAAACTTTGTGTATCAATCTGAAGTCAGTCGGATGATAACTTTAGCTTCTAGAGCGTCACAAGATCACAAGTGATCAAGGGCCATAATTTTGGCAGTAATTATCGGAAATCGTTGAAAATCAAATTGATTCTTCGTCTCATGACCTCAAACCCTATGTATAACTTTAAAGTCAATCAGATATTAACTTTAGCCTCTAGAGAATTTACAAGATTTTTTGAAGTGATCAAGGGCCATAACTCTGGCGGTAACTATAGAAAATCGCTGAAAATGAATAGACTTCTTCGTCTCATGACCTTAAACACTGTGTATAAATTTAAAGTCAATCAGATATTAACTTTGGCCTCTAGAGCGTCCACAAGATTTTTTGAAGTGATCAAGGGCCATAACTCTGGCAGTAATTATCAGAAATCGCTGAAAATCAATAGGCTTCTTCGTCTCATGATCTTAAACACTGTGTATAAATTTAAAGTCAATTGGATAGTAACTTTGACCTTCAGAGCGTCCACAATATTTTTCAAAGTGATCAAGGGCCATAACTCTGACAGCAATTATCGGAAATCGCTGAAAATCAATAGGTTTCTTCGTCTCATGAACTTAAAGCTGAACTCCGATTACAAAACTACAGAAATAATTAAATAAAAAAAAATTAACGCCCAAAATAATCGCCATACTTGTTTTCAAGTTGTAGAACAATCATGACGATTGTGCGGCATACAAAAACAGAGGCAGGCCACGCCCATATCCAGTTCACTACTTGTCATCCACACTGTCCACATCCGGCTAGCAATATTTCAGCTGACTGATTGGCGTTTTTTCACTATCAGTTTACTGAAAATATTATTGCTTACTGAAAATATTATTGCTACAAATTGTTATGTCTGATCAGGTACATATTATTTTACTAATTAGACGAAATAAGTAACCTTAAGTGACCTTAAACACTATGTATAAATTTAAAGTCAATCGGATATTAACTTTAGCCTCAAGCAATTGTGGACGCCGGACCGACGGACTGACGGGGGCGACGACAATATAAAACAACATTTCAATGTGGGTGTCTAAAAAATTGTATTTAGATGCCTTAAGAACCATAACTGGGCTCCCAAGGGGTACCTCACATAGCATCATGTATGAAGAGACTGGACTATGTTCACTGAAATCTCGCCCAACACAACATAAACTCATAACGTTTCATAAGATTGTCCATGGCGAAGTTCCCAATTTCTTATCAGCTAAGAAACCCCATAGAGTATCAGCAAACCAGCGCTACCATCTTCGAAACAGCAATTCTTTTAAAAACTTGCAATGTAAAACAAATCTTTACCAAATATCATTTTTTCCTTCATCAATTAAATTCGGTTACAGTTTTCAAGCCCTTGTAAGCCCATTTTTTTTTATCTTGGTGACAGAACTTTTCAAGTGATACATTGTAAACTTCGTAATTGCAAGAGTGATCTCATTATGCACAAATTTCTAATGCACGTAAGTAAAACCCCAATGTGTAGCTATGGCGAATCATTGTCAACAATTCAGCGTTCAAAGGTCAGTAACTGTCGATACTCTTGACCCTATTTTTAGAAATTCAAAGGCATTACCATATGGGATCTACGATGCACCTGCAAATCTAAATCATGCTGACTTTTGATAAACTGCAAGGTACATTGAGTTAACTCATCAGCTTAAAGGTAGTCTCTGTCACTTGATTACTTTGTTGTAAAAATTAGACTATACTAATATAAATCTTATTCAACCCAACACTGTACTCCAGTACTGACAGTAGTCCACCTCAACACTTCTACTTCTTCCATCTACACAGTAACCAACTTCTCAAGTTAAATAACCCAAAGACACCAATAGCCAAAGAGAGAGAGAGAGAGAAATGGGGTTTAACGTCCACTCGACACAAACTAGGTCATTTCGAGACTAACATGGTTTAATTTTATTTCAATAATTCGCTTGCGCGTAGGGGTCTTTAGCAGTGGGAGGAAACCGGAGAAAACCCACGAGGTTGGACAGGCGACCCTACTCCTTGTCACGTACAATCGGGGATTCGAAATCACGCCAGTCGACTCAATGACAGACTTTATGATACAGCGCGCTAACCATTCAGCCATCCAACACCCCCCCCCCCCCCAATAGCCAAAGATCAGAAAAGTGAATGCACATAAGTGTGGACTTTTTATGCCCTATAACAACACATGCATGTGCACTCTGAGGTCATAAACACAACCCAGTCCATTTTTAGCATAAGGGAGACTGGGCAAGTTTACAACAACTTGATCTCAGGGGCCATAATTCACAAAGTTACGGTCCGATATGCACGAATATCAAAAGGAACCGAGATCTTTGGGTTATAAACTTACATTTCAAGTTTCAACAAAATCGAACTCAGCCGTCCTTAGGGTGTAACTGTTATATAATAATACGGTTTTTTTTAATCGGATAAAAAATATGACCTCTATAGGGTCCACAAGCTAAAAACGCGATTTTTCGTACAATCAGGGGCCATACTTCAGGAAAATACGGTCCGATATGTGTGTATATCGAAAGGAACCACGATCTTTGGGTTATAAACTTACATTTCAAGTTTCATCAAAATAGGATTAAAATTGTGACCTCTATAGGGTCCACAACCTTGATATACCATATTTTTACGCTATTTGAGAACGAACGGCGGCCATTTTGTCTGTCAGTTTTGGGCCGATTTTCACGAAATTTGAACTCATGGTTTAACGGTGATATAATAATACCGATTTTTAAATCGGATAAAAATGCTGACCTCTATATGGTCCACAAGCTAAAAACGGGATTTTTCGTACAATCAGGGGCCATAATTCAGGAAGTTACGTTCCGATATGCGCGAATATCGAAAGAAACCGAGATCTTTGGTTTATAATCATACATTTCAAGTTTAAACTAAATCGGATAAAAATTGTGACCTCTACAGTGTTCACAAGCTAAAAACGTGATTTTTCGTACAATCAGGGGCCATAATCCATGAAGTTACAGTCCGATACATGCCAATATCGAAAGGACCCGAGATCTTAGGGTGATAAACCTATATTTCAAGTTTCATTGAAATCGGATAAAAATTGTGACCTGTAGACTGTTCGCAAACAATTGTGGACGGACGTCCGGACAGACGGACGGACGGACAGGGGCGACGACAATATACGTCCACATGAAAATGTGGGCGTATAATAACATTTATTATATTACTTTATTATCTGTAATAATATGATTTTTATTTATTGAGAAAATCTGAATGAGATTGGGAAAATGGCTGAGGAATTCACTTGATTTCTTTCTTTTTTTTAATTATTTCTAATTATCTAAAACCTTATATTAATTATTACAAACATTAAGTAGAAATCGCCATGTATGTATAGTGCGATACATTTAATATCTCTTTTAAAACAACGTATTCTATAACAGTATACTGATATAAAGAGATCGAAGTTTTCGTCAATTATTATCTAATTATAAACTATTTATTTAATTACATATAATAAAAGATTATTCTGATTTTACCCTTTGTTTATTTTCACATCTTGTCTCAGACAATAGACAGATTGTTACAATGTCTTCATTTGGAAGTGTCTGATTGATATAGCCCCATTAAACTTGACACATCACAGAAAATTGTCGTAGGATGTGAAAATTATAACAATAGTGTTTTATCTAGTTTTAAAAAATGTCTGAATGGGCGTGGAAATAGTCGAGTTAATCTTTTTATTTAATTTAATTGGCTCATTAATCGAAACTGGACATTTATTGCTTACCTATAAATGACCAATCAAAATGAATTACTCTAAAAAAAGAAAAAGAAAAAGGAAGAAACATTTATTGCAGTATTTTGCGAAATTAAACCTAATTGTACTACAGAAGTTGAATGTACTTTAAGCAGTGTGGTAATTCCTTCCTGGATTAGTATCAGTTAATTACATAGTCCGGTGTTAGAACCAACTCAAAAAGTGATATTGTATGTTCAGAAAACAAAGAATATCAGGTTTGTGATTTTTGTATTTTTTAATACAATGTATTTATAACGCAAATTTTTCGTTTCGGTTAAAACAAAATACACGCCCATTTTAATTGGCCGAAGGACGTGTGGCTAATAGTAATATGGCGGGTGGACAAACTGACCAAACAGTATATTTCGAGGTATTGGAGGTAAGCTAATTCAATATTATATCAAAACCGCATGTGCATAATTGTGTTTCTGTGTGATTAAATATTCAAAAGATAGGTTGCCAGGCAACGAAACATACGCCCACAGCAGCTATATCGTCCGGGCAGTCAACAAGAGTTGTCGCATATTTTTACTTTTTTCGGTAATGAAACATTTATAATACATTAAAATCTGATTAAGAGTAACAACTCATTAAGTAATTATCAGAAAACCATTAGAAATTTGTTTGGTTTTTATAAAATTCTGTCCCATGCTAATGTTTAGTATACAAAACTTTTAACATCATGGATTTAGCTGTTCAAGTCATAAAGATTCATTGAAAATCAATATACTTGTTCGTCTCAAGACCTTAAACTCTGTGTACCAATCTGAAGTCAATCGGATGATAACTTTACCCTTTAGAGCGTCACAAGATTTTTCAAAGTGATCAAGGGCCATAACTCTGGCAGTAATTATCGGAAATTGTTGAAAATCAATACGATTCTTCATCTCATGACCTTAAACACTGTGTATAAATTTAAAGTCAATCGGATAATAATTTTAGCCTCTACAGCGTCCACAAGATTTTTCAAAGTGATCAAGGGTCATAACTCTGGCAGTAATTATAGGAAATCGCTGAAAATCAATAGGCCTCTTCGTCTCATGACCTTAAACCTTGCGTATACATTTAAAGTCAATCGGATATTAACTTTAGCCTCTAGAGCGTCCACAAGATTTTTCAAAGTGATCAAGGGCTACAACTCTGGCAGTATTTATTGGAAATCACTGAAAATCAATTGGCTTCTTCATCTCATGACCTTAAACACTGTGTATAAATTTGAAGTCAATCGGATATTAACTTGGACCTCTAGAGCGTCCACAAGATTTTTTGAAGTGATCAAGGCCCATAACTCTGGCAGTAATTATCGGAAATCGGTAAAAAGCAATAGGCTTCTTTGTCTCATGACCTTAAACACTTTGTATAAATTTGAAGTCAATCGGATATTAACTTTGACCTCTAGAGCGTCCACAAGAGTTTTTGAAGTGATCAAGGGCCATAACTCTGGCAGTAATTATCGGAAATCGCTGAAAATCAATAGGCTTCTTCGTCTCATGACCTTAAACACTGTGTATAAATTTAAAGTCAATCGGATATTAACTTTCGCCTCTAGAGCGTCCACAAGCAATTGTGGACGCCGGACCGACGGACGCACTGTGGCGACGACAATATACGACCACATTTCAATGTGGGCGTATAAAACTCATTCTAAGGTTACACCAGTTAGTCCTGAATTGCAATATTTGTTTTCTGTTCTGGGCGCCATTTTGAAAAACAGACATGCTCTACATTCATGTAGATATATAGTTAATACATATGATTGTGTTCCATTTTTCAGATTGCAGTAGATTTTAGCAATACAATCCAGTGATAGTGCAGTCTATTTGCTTTAAAAGGAAATCTGAATTCGTACAAAGACCTACAACAAAATCCAGGTGAATTGGGAAAATTATTCATGTATTTTCTTTATGAAGAGTAGATATTTCAATTTGTAATTTTGTTTTATTGTAAATGCCCAGTAGTCTTAGACAAATAATAATTCAAACTTCAAATCAGTTATATTCATGATATGTTCTATTTATTCAAATCATACCACCGAAAATTGTATTTATCCAATTGCATAATAATAAAAACTTGACCTTTATTATTTTATGTTTTCAGGGGATGTCAGCTGTTTCGTAACCTTGCTGTTTCGTACTTAGTTCATTCGTACCTCACATGAGCCGTTTCGTACTTCACTTCGTACCTCAAATTGATTCATACCTTTTCCTATGTTGTTGAAATCAGTTAAAAGAAATTGAAATAAAGGTGAAACGATTTGATCAAATCCAACGGCTACGCTAAATTTATATTACACAGCCTGCCCAATAGTAGTAATGCACACACCATTAAAGGATACATTTATACTAAAATTGCTTCATGCAGTTGGGTTTCAATAACAGAATTACCCCGTGATATGACCGTATATACGGTCCATGATATAACAGAATGGGTTCAATAATCAACCCCGGATTAAATACTTTTTCATTCGTTTTTTAAACTGCTTTAACAATCACCAATCAACTGTCGTCAATAATCACAACTCACTGAGCAGAATGGGCTCGATAATCAACATCAGATTTAAAGAAAGGCAGGTAATCGTTTATTATTTCAATTTCTTTCAACAACATATAGATTTATTTTAATTTCTTTCAACAACATATAGATTTATTTTAATTTCTTTCAAGAACATGGACAAATGGTAATTGCCTTGTATCACTGCAAACTATAAGGCACAGGGAGTCTTAGACAAATAATAATTCAAACTTCAAATCAGTTATATTCATGATATGTTCTATTTATTCAAATCATACCACCGAAAATTGTATTTATCCAATTGCATAATAATAAAAACTTGACCTTTATTATTTTATGTTTTCAGGGGATGTCAGCTGTTTCGTAACCTTGCTGTTTCGTACTTAGTTCATTCGTGCCTCACATGAGCCGTTTCGTACTTCACTTCGTACCTCAAATTGATTCATACCTTTTCCTATGTTGTTGAAATCAGTTAAAAGAAATTGAAATAAAGGTGAAACGATTTGATCAAATCCAACGGCTACGCTAAATTTATATTACACAGCCTGCCCAATAGTAGTAATGCACACACCATTAAAGGATACATTTATACTAAAATTGCTTCATGCAGTTGGGTTTCAATAACAGAATTACCCCGTGATATGACCGTATATACGGTCCATGATATAACAGAATGGGTTCAATAATCAACCCCGGATTAAATACTTTTTCATTCGTTTTTTAAACTGCTTTAACAATCACCAATCAACTGTCGTCAATAATCACAACTCACTGAGCAGAATGGGCTCGATAATCAACATCAGATTTAAAGAAAGGCAGGTAATCGTTTATTATTTCAATTTCTTTCAACAACATATAGATTTATTTTAATTTCTTTCAAGAACATGGACAAATGGTAATTGCCTTGTATCACTGCAAACTATAAGGCACAGGGAGTCTTGAGTAGAAATGATAATAAAAGGTAAGACGTTTTAAATACCTATATAAACTTAATAAGTTTCATATGGTTCTCAGAAAAGTTACTGTGTACAGGCTGTACAAAACACATTTATACACTCACTATCAGGTTATTTTGCTCACAGAGAAGCGGGTGTGTAATCATCAGAAACAGATGTAAACTTTAAATGATCATAGATGTTTGGATAATTGCTTGGTGTGGTTCTAGACTCATATAATGTCACCAAACTGGCCATTTGGTTCAATGTGCAAATTGGTGATGCATGAGTTTGAAAGAGGAGTAAGCAATAATGCTACCTGATTAAAATACTTTCCCTTGAATTTGCATGTAGCCATACATATGAGTCTCAAAATAATATCTATTGTTAAATTATGCTCTTTCCACCCCACCCCCCATCCCGACTCAGTAAGTTATTTTACTTTTATTCTGCCATCTAAATAACTCTGTACCCATGACTGGTATGCCAAGTAAAAACCAAATCTATAAGTGTATTTATAATCATTACTTTTTGTCCCCCGCCTTTCGAAGAAAGCAGGGGACTATTAAAATGGGTTCGTCCGTCGGTCTACCTGTCCGCCCGTCTGTCTATCCGTCACACCTTTTGGGGCACAATAACTCTCCTTCTACTTGAGGTAGAATATTAAAACTTGGTGTAGGTGTTTATTAGGTCAATGCCTTGATGGTTCGAAGATGAGCTTTTTCTGCGTAGGGTAAGCAGAGATAAGCAATTTGATTGGTTGATGCTTTGGGACACGATAACTTTAGTTCTAATTAAGTGAGAGTGATGAAACTTGGTGTACAGTTTCATTACATCAATACCTTGACTAAGTTCGATAATGAGCATTTTCTGCCCAGGGTAAGCAGAGCGATAAGCAATTTGATTGGCCGTTACTTTGGAACACAATAACTCTCCTTCTAATTGGGGTAAAATGTTCAAACTTGGTGTAGGTGTTTATTAGGTCAATGCCTTGATGGTGTTTGTAGATGAGCTTTTTCTGCGTAGGGTAAGCAGAGATAAGCAATTTGATGCTTTGGGGCACGATAACTTTATTTCTAATTAAGTGAGAGTGATGAAACTTAGTGCATAGTTTCATTACATCAATACCTTGACTAAGTTCGATAATGAGCATTTTCTGCTCAGGGTAAGAAGAACGATAAGCAATTTGATTGGTCGAGACTTTGGAACATAATAATTTTTCTTCTAATTGAGGTAGAATGGTGAAACTTGATGAAGATGTTCATTAGGTGAATGTCTTTTGACTGAGTTCAATGATTAACATTTCGAGCTAAAGCTAAGCTAATCAATTTCACTGGTCGATGCTTTGGGACAAGATAATCTTGATTCTATCTGATAGAGTGATGAAACTTAATGTATAGTTCGATGGATCCATACTTTTGAAAAAAAATAAATGTGCGATTATTTAATATGTGTCATCTTTTTATTTTGGGATTTCGGCGGGGGACATCAGCCTCACTGTTGGCTTGTATATTTTTCAGAGATTTGAACATCCTTGGAGAAGTACATGTATTTAGTAAAAATTAATACCAAAGAAAGAAAACAACTCTAAATTCTGAATACAAAGTCATCAAATTCTTTTATAGATCTTATTGTGGAAACCCAAAAGTTATTTGTCACCATTGCCTTTTTTTAATTGCTTTTCTTTTGTTTTTAATGTCAAATACCAAACCCTCTCTAAATATTGTTTCATTATATAGACTGCAGTGTAATCCTAAACACTACGAATTTGGCCTGAAAACTTTACATATTAAAGGACAATATTGGTGCAAGTCATTATCACATATGTGATAGAACTGGTTAAACATGTTCCAAATATTATTTTATCACCGAGATCATTGCTACGATAGATGAGTAATCATGTTTCAACAATAGGAAGTGACGAACGCAAAAGGAAAACACGAGTTATCCCTTTATATAACTGACTGAAGTGACGGGTGATAACAGATACATGGGCGGATTTCTGCTCACTAATAATTCCTTCGAAGAACAAAAGTTGTTGTATGGGACTGTGAAAGGATATCTGACAATTCATAAACAAAATTGACTGTCACTAGATAAGAGAACATGAAAGAAAAATAGAAAAAGTCCGTGCATTACCATGTTTTTTTTTATAAGTATAGAATGAATAAACACCCGTGGATGTACCGACTGTTTCTATTTTTCTCGTGTTCTCTTATCTAATGACATTCAATTACTTTTTTGAATTGTCAGATATACTCTTACAGTCTCATATAACAACTTTTGGTCTTCGAAGGAATTTTTAGTGAGCAGAAATTCGACCATGTATCTGTTATCACCCGTCACTTCAGCCAGTTATATAGAGGGATAACTCGTGGTTTCCTTTTGCGTTCGTCACTTCCTATTGTTGAAACATTGATTATTCATCTATCGTAGCAATGATCTATCTATGTGATTAAATAATATTTGGAACGTGTACATATTGTCCTTTAAATATGAGTTATCAATTAATAGTAACAGTAGATAATTATAAAAATGTATTATTGTAACAGTGTAAATCTTCGATAATAACTAAAGACTGGAACTATCCTTGAGACTATTTATTACCGGAAAACATTTAACATATACGGAGAACAGCACGTCCGACAAGCAGAGTAACTGTCCTGGAAACGGGATGAAACCTAGAATGCTATATAAATGTACAAATCGGTATTTATAATAAAATAGTATCTAAGGAATTAACAATATACACCAACTATACTAATAACAATTAAAGAGGTAAGATTAAAATATAAAAGAGATTGCAATAAAATAAAACAATAAGGTAGTAATTAAACTCATTAATGTGTCAGCTGTCAACGATCAGTCATTAGATAAGTAGCTTAACGTCTAATTAACAACGCAGGATTAATAGAAACATAAGAAAAATAGAAATGTTTAAATGAAAGAATGAACAATGAATGAATGATATATTGAAAGAAGGAAATACCAAAAATTCACAATATTATCACCATTATATTATTGTTTGATGAAATCAACCTTTAGTTTTAAACAATTGGAGAACATTTTGAATGTTAATGACTCTTTATTCATCAATATTTTTTTTTATAAATTTTTTAAATTCTTCAGTTTATTTGATTTTTATGCTTTATTTATTTTATCTATCTATAATTATATGTCCTGTACCTTATCTATTAGTTCCCTTTTATGTACTGTAGACATTTGTGAATTCCTAATCTTTTAAAGGGGGTATTTCTTCTTAAAAGTATTTCAATTTAGTGTATAATTAATGTCTTTAGTGCTGGGTTTGGTTGTTATTAAATTTATATATATTTAAAATGTAGGTTTTGGTGGTATGGGGTAGGGATAATTTTAAGGTTAATTGTAAAAAAATAAAAAGCTTTTTTTTATTTTGTGATTGGGGAGTGGGGGTGGGGAATTTATATATATTTAAAATGTATGTTTTGTTGGTATATGGTAGGGATATTTTTTAAGGTTAGTTTTAAAAGAAAAAAAAACAATTTAATTGGCCTTTTTTTATTTTGTGATTGGGGAGTGAGGGTGGGGAATTTTGCTATTATTGAACACAAATACATTAGTATTGGAATTAACTTTGTTTTTATTAATATTCTAAATGTCTGAGTGCTTGTTTTGGGTTTGTTTTCAAAATTTAAATAGCTATTTTTTATTCTATGATTGGGGTGGGGGGGGGGATATTTTTTCATTGTATGACACAATTTTATTAGTATTGGAATTAACTTTGTTAATTAACCCTCGAGATGTCTGTTTAGTATTGATTTGGCATTAATTTAATTTTTTCATATCATTTATTGAATAAATAATAATTTAAATTAACAA